GATTTTGTCCGCTGAGGGGCTCGAACCCGCGCCACACAACGTTAGGTCCAGAAGCATTAACCACTCGACCCACGCCACCGGGTCGATAGTGCTTACTCAGCTACATTCTGCATACTGGGATGCGGACAAAATGGTGTTCATACATATTTTTCCTTTTTGAAAACTTCTTTGATGAAAAACCATAAGCTGTACCTAGTTTCGCTTTAGTCTCTGCACATTATGATGGTGTAATGGGTTCATCCCACCATACAAATTGCGTGAGCCACATACCTCTGTGTTGTGAATAACATTTACCGGATAACTCGTATCCGGGTAAATCATAATGCAGCGGGGCTGCCGTAGCTTCGCGCTTAGGGGAGGCGTAAGTTAGGTCACCGACCTTTCGTTCTATACTTAGAACAAGTACGAGTTTAGCGGATCTCAATCCGCTTACTCCAAGAGTAATTACAACCTTAACCTGAAGTTAATTAACTCTTCCGTTTAAATTCGAAACTGACTTTATTTTTTTATCTGCGGCAAAGCCGCCTAATTTTAAATGCATAGATTTTCCAAAATATGTATAGTAAAATCTAAATAGATGTATAATTACTGGCTATCCAGTCCCGTACCGTATTCTTGTTTGGGTATGGTCACACCATGCCCACCTAGTGTGACACATACCCCTGTTGCCAGGGTATGTGTAACCCCGTTACACATATGGAGCCAAGTAATAGCTCATAACTGGAAGAATAGTAGCCAATTATGAGTTACCTGAGAATAAATCGCTTTGCTTAAGTCGCTCCATTCGAGATTTTCTGTCACATGGACATATTGCGACATTAGGTACTGCATTAATTAACATTCTTCACAAATATTAATTGTGTTGATGTACAGGACAGTGAAGTGCCAAGCAACCATGCTAGACTAGTTTGAAACTAGCCACGAACTGATGGTAGTCTGGACTGTAGCCGTCGTTTTGAGAAATTTCTGCAGTTCTCAAATGCGTCTGAGTACCACTCTATCTCTGGGATTCGTCACATTCAGCAGTGAAGCAGTGATTGCTAGGCTCTTTAGCTTTTCCAGATTCGCGGCTATCTGCTTTTCCACATCTTCGTTTTTTTGATCGTCATTCTCTTCTTCTTCCACCTCCTGTTTCATGGCTATAATCTCGTCGTCATTCATCTCCAGATTGGCTGTGTCGTCCTCCATCACTGGACTTAAAAGCTCTTCAAAAGTCATGGGATTATTAAGAGGAAGCCTAAGGATAGCTTTATACAGATCAATTTCAATGTATCGCTCCTCCATATTGGGCACCGATATTTGAGGAGGCTCAGCAACGAGACTGGTGTTGCGAAACATTTGGCCACGGTTGGTACTGATATCTCCTCCCAAGCTGCTTTGCCCCATTTCATTGCGGTTAGCTGATCGATCTTATAAATGTTGTTTTCACTTCAATCGTCGCGATCAACAGCATTGTGAAGGTGACAACGTCTGTTATGTCACTTGAACGCGAAGATTATCCCAACATCCATGGGCTGGATCTTAGACGTGCAGTTTGGAGGAAGGAAGACCACTTCGACATTATTCACCTCGTGATCGTCGACTATGTGAGAAGTGGCGTTTTTTAGTAAGAGAAGGATCCACCTTTGTTGGCCTGAGAACACATCTAAAGCGTTTACATATTGTACTTTCGTGTCGCCGTCAAGTGTTTTTAAGTACTCCTGGAAGGGGGCGCCAGTTATCCACGTGTTCTTAATGTTGCGATTATAGAAACCAAGTTGCTCTCCTGTCTTACGATTGGTACAGCTTATTGGCCTTTGCAATGAACAATGGCTTGCGCTTCTCTGACCCATCTGCGTTGGCAGCAAAGGCAATCATGATGCGGTTTTATGATGTAGAAGGATGAATGATAGTCTAGTCAGCCTTTTCATTTAAAAGCATGCAAATAAACTTCATTTGTCTCGTCTACGTCTTTCAGTCTGCTGTTGTGCAATGGTCGTTTCTGGAACCATGGAATGAAATAATCCTACGAAGACATCAATTTAAGATCTCCCATGTAAAGTACGTTACTAGCTATCATACCAGTTCCATCCATATTGAACAGATCCTTCAGCTCATACCGAGCAATGACTGCTAAAAGCGCAAGAAGAGCAGCATCGATTGCTGCCTGATCTGCTGCACCACTCTCACCATGAAATTTGATACCACGCTGCTTGTTCCTCTCTGGAAAGTCTTGCAGCCACCTATTGGAATATTTCTTGCATTTTCGCGCAAGCCAAGTCGATCAGCAAAGAGTTGTCCTTTGGTTTTGCTGAGATCTGCAGTGATGACTACATAGCTTGTCTGGCATTGAAGCACCCATGTTACCAAGGCATCATCAACGCGAGGCCGTTAAGCCGAAAGCTCAACATCTGTCATGGCCTCGAGCTCGCGACTCTTTTTGACGATGCTGCTAATAGCAGATGAGTGGTCCCAACGCCAAACTTCTGAGTAGCCTATGTCGTAAGCGCACTTTGACTCATCCACTGATTCTTGGTCTTTTGATTACAGACCTCGAGCCGCTGCGCATTTATCAAACGTGCTGTTGGTATACTTATTGTAAATATAATTTTGCAGCTCTTCAAAACAAAATCCGCAAAAAACTCGGAACTGTAAGTTATCAGAGGGACGACTGTATATATCTTGCACAGGTGTACATCCCTCAACTCGGTTGTATTAGAAACGGAGGCACTTTTCAGGTTGGGGAAGGCTTACGGCCTATAGGCCATAATAAATGTCGCTTCACCATTTTCTTCTCGTTTGCGTAAGAAATGGACGGCGCGTTGGAAGCGAGCAACACATGGTGAAGCGTCTTAATCGATTTAAATCTTCTTCGGTAAGTGCGAGTGTACGGACGGGCAATTCCCGTTACACTTGTTCGCCCTAGTGGTCATTCCAGCGCCAGCTTCTTCGGTGGATTCATCCATAGATGTGGACATGGCCACCCTCGGATCAACACAAGGAAATATTCGTTCCTGACAAGCTCGCACTGGAAGTGTGTGGTAAAGCTGCAAGATTTTATCACGTGGTCTCCAACATGCTCTAATTAGATCAAGAAACGATAACTTAACGCTTGAATAGTTTTGCTGCGTATGAGCAGGGATTTTTATTGAATTTTTATCACAGAATTTCCGACGCGGGCTCCGTCACCTTCTTCACAAGGGGTGGTAACACCGTCGGTTCACACGGATTGTCCCGTGATTATTGAGGTGAAAAGATTTCACGGGAGTGAAGATGACGGGAAATGGACATACCTTTCGCGATGGCTGATATTCGTGATGACCGCAGTCAAATAGCCTTCGTAATGTCGCATTTGGATGGCTGTGCGATAGATTCGGCGATGACATTGGAGGTCAACCGCCCCGGCTACTTTGCCACATGGCAAAAGTTGAAGAAGGCTACAGCGGGGCTGCTGTAGCTCTTTGCTTAAAGAAAGCTAAGCTAAGCAAAGGCCACCGACCTTACGTTCTTTACAAGAACCAGTACGAGTTGCAGCGGATGAGATCCGCTGCCTCCAAGAGTACTTGAAGCCTTATCCAAGGTAAAGAGGGCCTTCCGTTAAAAATTAAAACTGTTCCTGATTGTTTTAATTGCGGCAGAGCCGCCAGTATATAAGACCATAAGTTTTTCTAATAATTATAGTAAAATCTAATTAATATAGTAAGACCTAATTAGTATGCATTACAGCTGGCAATCCTGCGACGTGAGGCTTCTTGTTACGGTATAGCCACACCGTTGTGTGATTACACCAACTTGTGTAAAATACACCAATTTACAGTTACACCATCTTGTGTGACCCGCCCTTTCATACAAGGGTACGTGTAACCCCGTTAAATTTTTCCTATTAAAATAGTGAATATCCACAATTCACATTTAACGGTCGCCTCATACGAGGCTTGCGTGTCTGAGATTCCTTCAAGTTCTTAAGACATCCTTAAACATTCTTCGCTCTATGGGACCTGTGTCTATGACACGCAATACACACAGTCTAGCTGGTTCCGAGGGCGCCCGCGGGCAAAGCCTTTCTTCTTCTGCACAGTGAGCATCTCCGGACAATACGTCCGCGGCTTCACGGTAAGCACTTCCTAAGCCCTCGGCAACCAAGCGCAACACACCGCGCCCGCCCCGGGCGATGGATTTTCTCGCGAGAATTTGGAGAAAGTCGACTACGAGCCGGATTCTCCTTTCCAAGCATGGGAAGACGAATAGGATGAGGCGTGCCAATGGCGCGTCGTGAGCCCAGCTCGAACCTTGCGGACACTGTGTCCATTCCCTGACCTCTCGGCTTCCGGGGTTGTGGTATTGTTATCAATCGTGTAACGGGGTTACACGTACCCTTGTAAGAAGGCCGGTCGCAACGATTGTGTGACCGAACTAAATGGTAT